GGAAGGTTTAATAAGATGAGATGAGTTGTCACAATATTATTGGATGATGTGTGTGATTTTTAAAAATGAGATAAGATGAGATGTGATGAGTTGGATGATGTGACACATTTTTTATGTTTGGTTTATTTTTAAAGGATGAGATAAGATGAGATGTGATGAGTTGGATGATGTGACACATTTTTTATGTTTGGTTTATTTTTAAAGTTAAGAAATGAGATGAGTTGGAGGATAAAAATATTATTTTATTGGATGTTGTGGGTGAGTTTTATGGATAAAAATAGATAAAAATATTATTTTATTGGTTTCCTTGTACCGATTTCCTTTTCTTGATTTTTAGGAAACCAACCAAACGGCCCCTTATATTTTGGTTATTTTAGTTATACCGATGTAGGCATATTTTGTGCGAACTTGGATCTTCTAGGAAATAGCTAGACAACTATGCTCAGAACCTTTTATTCTCAAAAGTAGTATTTATCTCACTTTTTTTTCGTTAACTATTATGTAGTGTGTTATACTGGAGTTCTTGTGGAGAAGAACTTGGAAAAAGCAGTTTTTTGGTCATAAGTCGACTCATGCACAGGCATAAGTCGACTTATGGTAAGTCGACTTATGTTTGTATCGTAAGTTGACTTACGATCTGCTGTGGATTGTTGATTTTGGGCTCTGGCAAGTCGACTTATCAGACCTGTTAAGTCGACTTATGAACTCTTCTCCAGTTGTCGTTTTTCGCTCTGCCAAGTCGACTTATGCAGACTGATAAGTCGACTTACGACGGGTTTTTTGGAAAGTTCAGGTTCCTATTTGCAGTCTTTTTGGGTTTCTATTTTGGTATAAATACCAATACGATTTGAGGGTTTTGTAGGAGCATATTTGGGGATTTTGGAGCACAGAAAAGAGAGATCTTTCTGAGCTATTGGTTAGGGTTATTGGTTGAGAGATTGAGAGATTTATTGGTGAGATTAGTTGGTTCGTTTGAGCGATTTGTAATCTCAATTTGTACTCTCCTTCTCTATTAGTGAAAACCCACCCCCTTCTTGCCCCGTGGACGTAGGCAATTGTCGAACCACGTTAAAACTGGTGTTTGGGTTTGTGCATTGATATTTGGTTATTTTTTGCCTTCTTTGATCGGCGTTTGTTTCGGTTCCTCGGCGCCGCCGTCCGTCACGACAAGTGGTATCAGAGCATATCGCTGTTGTTCGGCACTACAGTTCTCAGTCTCTTTGTTCTTCTGGCTAGGGATTTTGACCGATGATATAGTGGGCGGATCCGGATCCTCTCCTAATGAAAAGCTTCTAATATCTCCTAACAAGGAGATCCTACCTTTTTATTTTTATCATGGCCTTTTATTTTCTCATCCATCCAGGTGGGCGCCCCTCCCAACTCTTCACGATTCTTCATTATGAAATATTAGGATGAGGAGAGGATCCAATTCATAGTGGGCACCAACTTCTGCTAGATGCCTCAAAATTATTTGGTTTTTTTGGCTTTTGTATTGTGTTTTGACAGTCCAATATTGTTGGGTTTTTGTGTGTTTATGTTGAGACATGACCATTATGTTGTTGGAGGTTTACTAAAACGAGAGTTTTGTTATAAATATTGAGTTCGAATGTCAGAAATTGCCGGCTTACTATGCCATTACTAGTTACATACACTTTTATAAATATTGAAAGCTTCTGTTAATTGATACTTTTTTATCATTTTCAAAAAACTAAGCTAGACAATGTTTATGTGAACATATGGTGGATGAAAAATATATATAGAAGAGATATTACATGTAGGCGTTGTTCATTATAATTTATATGCAGACTATAGATAGATATGTGTAGAAGAAATAAAAATTGTTAGCCATTATTTATGTGAAACATACGATGTATCATGTTTGGATTGATTGAAAAACTTGCAAAATTGTTATAACTTAGATTTTACTTGTTAGTCATTGGATTTTAGATCAAAGTTTGTTAGCCATTAGATTATATTTGTTATAATTAAGATTTTATACCATGACTAAGGCTTCATTATATAACTAAAGTTTTTCTTGAAGCTATATTTGAGCTCTTACATGTACATACTACATAAAGCTATGGTCTTAGCAAGTGAATTTTGGTCATTATTGATATTTGCGTTGTAGGATGAATTTTGCTTCGGAAACTCAAAATGTGGAAGAGTACTCTCAATATGGTGAGAGGGCCAAAAAAGCTAGGTGTGACTATGTAATATGGTCCGAACAAGAGAATAGAGAGCTACCAAGGCTTTTAGTAGAGGAGATGAAGAATCGCAACAAGATGGATAATGGCAACTTCAAGAGATATATCATCACTCAAAATATGTTGTCATTCATGAATGCTAAGTTTTGAAGAACTTTTAAATTTGATCATATAAAGAATAAGATCAAGAGTTGGAAGAGGAAGATTGAACCAATTGAATTACTATTGAGGAACAATTTCGGGTTTGGTTGGGACCCAATATCTCAAAGAATTATTTGCTCCGTTGGGGTGTGGAAAAATTACAAGCAGGTTAGATTGTTAATTACCAAAAATTCCTAATTGCATAATATATTATTATATTTGCTAATTACAAAAAATATATTAATTTGTTATCTTTGTTTTTTGAAAGGTTCATTCTATACACCAATGCTTAAAGATAAGTTGTTTGAAAATTTGGAGGATATGTAGATGGTGGTGGCTAGCCACTCTGCTAGTGGGAAAGCTACTGGAGGCTTAGAAAGTGAGGGTGTAAAGAGTGCATCATTACATAATGTATTGGGTGAGGGTAGATTTGATGATGAGATTCGACTTGATGCTATGGGTGAAGAAGAATCTACCCAACCACCAGTAGATCCTCCACCACCTTCCCCTAATAGCACTCCAGGTCTTGTCACTCTCGTAGTTAAATTTGTACCATCGACCTCTAGCACTAGCAGAAATGTCCCTAGTAGCTTATTTATAATAATTAAGACTTTATCATCATCATTGTAATAAATGTAGAAATGATTAAATAATTATTACAATTAAAAAGTTTGTTAATATAGCATAATAGTTAAAATAAACATCAAAATATTCAAAGATTGATTAATATTAATATTATTAATAATATTTATATTAAAATAATCATAAAAATAATATGATTATATATTATTATTATTATTATTATTTATTCACGATTTGATGTAATAGCAAGTTAAACTTGAACTTAATTGATCTATAAATATCGTATTATAAAAATATGTCATATCAATTGTCCCACTCAAATTAGTCCATTATCTCATTTTACCCTACTTTATCCTTAATTTATCTCACTCAAATTGTCTTATTGAGACAATTAACCCAATTTGCCCCAATTACTCCCCCGGGCCCCACCGATGCAGTTCTGATAAGAACTATACCAAACTGATTATTTAAGAAAACTTTTTGAGTGAAAACCAAGACAAGGATATAATAGTAATAAGGTTGAAAGTGAATTCAAGAGCTCAATTTTTAATAATTCAATGACAACTTTTGAAAATAGGCCTATTTTAACAAATAATTGCAAATTTCGACTTTTTTGAAACTTATTTGTCCAAACCAACCCAGTTTTAGTCAGATCACTAAAGCTGGGTCGGTTTTGACAAAAGAAACTCTGAAACTTCACGGGACTTGAAGTCCCGTGAAGTTTATTTTACTTATGAAACTTCACAAAGGGAAAAAAAATTTCACGGAACTTGAAGTCCAGTGAAGTTACGTAGCTTAATTAATTGTCTGCTAAACTTTACGGGATAGTTTTTTAGAAAAGACTGGATCGATTTTGACAATTATTTTTAGAAAAGATAGTTTTTTTGTGAATCTTTTTGTAAATTGGATGGTTTTCAAAATTTGTCCATAATTCAATATCCGATGCTTGCGGTGGCTCCACGAGCCCTAGACTTGCATGGGATTCATATCCCCTCCAACGTAGACAGACATGATATATGATGGTTAGTCCATTGAGTCCCACTAGAGGCACACCCTCAACCACACTTCCAACCACACCCACACACTCTCTATAGTGCTAATGGACCATGCAAGATATTTTTAAAAAAAAAATCATGCATGGCCCACTAGCACTATAGAGAGTGTGAGGGTGTGGTTGAGAGTATGGTTGAGAGTGTGCCCCTAGCATTATTTTAGTCCATTTTCTCAAACGTAACACTCTACTCGTAGGTATCATCAATTGGAAGTGACCAGATGTTATAATATATTTATAATTAACAAAGTGATCTCTTTACTTTAAATAGTTGTTTAGTGTACATGTCTACATGCTTCTCATGTTGTTTAGTGTACATGTCTACATGCTTCTCCATGAGGTGGCTTCCAAATCATCCACTTGAAGAAGAGGAGATGAACAAGAAGGGTCTGTTTGGTTGTTTTCCTTAAAATCAAAGAAAAACAAAAGAAGATGAGGAAAAACATTAAACAAAATTTTCTCTAATTTCCTCAATAAAAATCATAAAATGGGCGTCCTAAAACGTGAGTCACATCAACTAATAAGAATTTAGCACATCATTGTTTTTCTTGGTTTCAAGATGTGAACGAAACAAAGAAAATGAAAATATTATGAAAAACTTACAACAAGTTATACTTTTTCTCCATTTTCGTTCTTTTTCCTTCATTTTCCATAATTTTTGGGCAAACCAAACAGCCCCGAAAAGGAAAACAGCAACTCTTGCATAGTACCAGTCAAATTCCATGATTCCAGGAATCATGGGATTTACAGTAAAACTGTGCAGCAGTCTTTGTTGATCCCAGAAGTCCACATTAAGACTTTCACTCGCTGTGGCCGCTACTTAGCAGCGAGAATCACACAGTTCACAAATAGACAAACAACTTGCTCTTTAATTCCATTTTTTGACCAAGAAAACTATATTTATTTGGTCTACAGGTTGCTGATCGTCTACGCTATCACCAACCACGGCAAGAGGAAAAGGAGACGCGGGAGGGAATGAAGGTTTAAAAATATGTTTTTTAAAAATGAACGATAATAACAGGAGGGAATATTGAAGGTTAAAAAATTTGTTTTTTTTTATAATGACCAATAATAACATGGGACACTGCCCTTTTACATATTTTACAAAGTTGAATTAATGAAACGATATCCCCGACGCCTGCCCAAAATATCACACAATACATACAACATCAGATCACAGTTTTTTTTTTCTATCATTCTTCCATACAATAGGATTGATCCTCTCGACGGTGACAGAATGTGCAAGTTCCCAACCTTTAAAAACACCATTAGCATGTTAGTACCTCCTGGCAACTTTGAGAGGGTGAACCAAATCTTAGTGACAACATTCTTCCGACTCCACGAATACTTCGATGTTAAGATCCAACCCTTTCGAGCTGCCACGAGATCATAATAACCCATTGCTGTAGATTCTCTGCCACTATCTCTGGTCGCTAACGCCACCACCCAAGCACCGGGGTCATGCGAACTCCAAAGTTCATTTACATAACTGAATTTCATTTTGACCCTTGACAACAGCTACTGCATAAATATAGTATGGGCGTTAGAAACTGCCCGCAACTCCTTGGTGAACGTCAAATAGCAGAGAAATAAGTAGATATCAATTTTCAGAGAGAGGGGAAAAACATCGTAATTAGAAATTTAGAAAAGCAAGATCATCATTTTTCCAGGTAATACCCTAGTAGCAATTAATACGGATCCTGATGTCAGTAAAGTAGATCATGTTGCACGAAGATTGCAAGTCTGGATCAATCATCAGGATCACTGATCGTATATCAATACCCAGTACAATTTATTTGTTTTCTACCAATTCTACCTATATCAACTCAAACAATGCTCATATGACAAATGAAAACAATATACTACCTTGTTCAGAGAAAGTTCAACAAGTTTCAAGCCTAATAGTACATAAAAATAGAATTCTTTCAATCTGTTCATGAACTTTAACAATAGGGTCTAATCCCTCTAGCTGATAGACTCAATCTAGACTCGAAAAGGCACCGAAGCAAAAGGTACTGGCAAGGCAATGCCCAGTTTTATGTCTCTAAATCTTAATGCAAGATTATGATGACAATACACACACATATCATAAGGTCGAACTTACATGCTTACCCTCTGGTCCGGGAAATTCTCCACATGTAGTTCCTGCATTATCCGATGCTTTTGAACTGGCTTTGCCTGAGAAACTGGTTTCTTCAGGAGCATTCTGCTCAAAAGAAAAACAAAGGGAAAAAGAAGAAGAGAAGAAAGAAGAGATCAAATAGGGTGGTAAGCCTTTAATGTATAGAGATATATTGATGATCAAAATAAGATAAATTGCACTTCCAAGAAATGCAGAACATTATCAATTTATCATAGCATTAGGAGTATTAACTACCATATCAAGTCGCAGTGAGTCAAGTCTACTTGACAGCTTCATCTTGGGCATTCCCATCCCACCTAAACAACCACCACGCTGTTTTCCATTAATGTCTTTTACATCCATACTGCTGCAACCCCAGGTGTAAGAGACATATTTCCTCAACTGCACAAACCAGAACAAGTTACAAATGTTTCAAATATATTCTGAAATATCATTGCTTAGGTGTATATTTACCTTGTCCCAATGGTGTTGAGCACGTCTGTGTCTTCTTATATCTCGCATGACGCTATCCTCATTTCGCAGTTTCTTTATCCTGGCCTCACACTAGAACTGAGTTAGAGTCAAGGACAGTAGCATGGAAATATGATAATTACCACTTGTAAGGTGTAACTGTAAATCAATTAGCAGCAGATACCATATGGAACTGAAGAGCTACCCTTTAATCTGAAATATATATAATCATGAAAAGTAAAGTATCCGGTACCAGTTTTCAAAATAAGTTTGCGGTATAATAAGCGAAGTTGGTCAATGTAAAGTATGTTGCTAGTTTAGTCTGAATTTCACATAATCACACGTAAACAACCTCCAAATACCAGAGTAAATTTGTTTTCCTAGTTAATAAGATATAAGTTGGTGAAATCTTGAGGCCTTATAGTCGCTTATGTACTTGAGCAAAGCTGTGAAACAGTTCAGCTTCATCATTTAGGAGTTTAGTTACTTGTGCCTTGATCTAGAATCCTCTTAAGCGACATGACACTTTGTCCACCCAACTTTTTAACCGTTGAATAAGCTTGATAGATCAAGAATCAAGATCTCACTATTCTACTCCTCTCCCATGAAATGATGATGACTCAATACTCATTAGATTTTTATCTATCAAGCCAATCCAATAGTGAAAAAGTTGTGAGGACGAAATCTCAAATCCACTTAAGTGGATATTAGATCAACTCATAGATATGGAAAAGTAATTACGACATAGATATCATTTGAACAATTATTATTATTATCATTACTCCTCCTCCACCTCCTCCTCATTATAATTATCATCAACAGTATTAGCAGCAGCAGTAATAGGAGTCACAGTAGCAGCAGAGGAAGCAGCAGCAGGAGCAATATTAGTATTACTAACAACTAGGTAATAATAAGTTTTACGAGTTTACAAATAAGAAGTTTAGCACATATCACAAGTAATTCTTGTTGAGAGATTTAAATTTTTTTACTCAGCAGTGATATTAAGGTGCATTGCTTTTGTTCGTTTCATCTCAAAGTAGGCAACAAAATTATAAAAACGTATTTGTTTTTTAACTATTCCAACTACCAGTGTAGACAAAATAGCAACAAGGAATCCTTCAGTATAAAATCTTAAATCTCTGGTTACCTAAAAAGCAGTGACACAGACAAAGGATATGGAAGTGACACAGCAAGAGATACACTGCAATTCCTCAAAAATTATGATATGGAAATACCATGACATTGTATTAGAAATATATGGAGTGTTAGATCCCAGAATCATAACCCTCAACAGTCACTGCAACTTTGTAGGTTTGATGCAATGGATAGGGTTTTTTAATATGGTCAGGTTTTGGTACATGAAAGGGAAGTCAACATGCAGGAGCATATTAGAATGTAGAATCATAATCCTCACCCACACCACAACTTTGGAATTTTGGTGCAGCGGAAGGGATCTTAACAGCAAATTGATTGACCAATGCAATCGTAGGCATAAACCATTTTTTACCATTGAATATAGAAATTAGTATGATGCAGTATGATCTGTATTCTATAGCTTTTTAACTAAGAAACTATACCATCATTGTTAAATATTCCTGGAATCAGTTATATATGTTTGCATGGACTTCAAATTTACACTGAGAAGAAATAATGAATTCTTCAAATGGAAAAACACAAGAGCAACTTACTTGAAGCAAGAAGTAAAGGAATATTGCAAAGCTCACAGCATAAAGACCACCAGCATTTGCAAGGAAACCCACTGCAAGTTTAGAATTAGAAGTTCATTTGAGTACACAGAAAATGATCTTATAGAATGACATGGGGCAAGAACAAAGGGATCCCAACAAATTTAGCATGATGTTCAAGGAAACATTAGTTCATGAAAGAAAAGGATCATAGCAGCCATTTGCATTTTTCTTGTTACTCACTTCAAATATAGCCTAGGTTACCCAGACACTTCATCTAGGCTCCCGTATCCGTGTCCGACACTTCCATATCCGTGTCCGTGTCAGACACTCCTTAGACACTTCTTGAACATATACATACATTGATTCAAACTTGTACTCACTTCTATAATACATGTTTTAGTTTAAAGAAAAACTCGTGACACACTCCTTGAACGTATACCATACATTTCACCTCAAATTTACAATTCATCAAACTCCAGACAAGTTCGTTTTAGCACATACCTAGTTCATAACTATGATTCTAAAGGGCTGGTTGCGTACGGATTTCAAATAAGAGTGGTCTTTCAATTTATAATCTACTCAATAAAAGAATATTAAAAGTAATATAAGGATTTTAGCTCTCATAACATGTGAATGAAAAACAATATTGATCTCATATAGATTATTAATTTTCATATGTATGTATACAGCGTGTTCACCTATCCTAACTTCTACAATTTTTCCTTGTCCCGTATCCCCACCCATGTCTGTGTTCACACCCATACCCGTATTCGAGCAACATAGACTGTAGCTAATCAATGCAGAACGTACACTCTGATTGTTCAGCTGCTTCTGTTGCTCCAATGTCAAGACACATGTGACATACCAACACTTATTGGACCCTTCTCCGACAAGTGTCAAACACTGTCCACATGTGTCCTCAATCTAATAAGTTTTTTGATACTTTTGGACAGTTCTCCAGTTCTTCCGTGCTAAGAGTATGTTGAGATGTGCACTAACTACTTTTGGACAATTCTCCAGTTCTTCCATGCTGAGAGTATGTTGAGATGTGCATCAACTACTTTTCACATGTTAAAAATCTTAATTTATTGGAGTAGACATCATAACAGTGACTTGTACGCAATCATGATAAAGATCACATGTATGCCACATAAGACGTGAGATAGATTAAGGATCTTGAAAGAAAAAACTGAAGAAAGTAGGCATAATTTGCATTGAAAGTCCAAAAAAAAACACTCATTACTCAGTATGCCATACCCATTGTCATCGACTCATAGATTAAAAATGCCAAGAGATGCATTTGCAATAATACACACATCACCTGTATGATTTAAGGTAATCTTTCCTTCTACAAATGTATGTCAAAGTTATAACGCTTATTTGTTGTGGAAGAATATTCATTTATGTACTATTTTCTTCCAGCATACACATTCATCTATCATCTTGTGAGGTTGCCACCTCCTAATGTCCTATTCATTAAAAGTGATTGTCCATGTCACGATGTGTGTGTGGCATATGTCGTGACCATGCAATTTTGATGGCACTAACTCCCTTGACCACTGTATATCAGTATCAGATACCAACCCATAGTTCTCAACAGTTCTTCGGTTAATAGGAATATAAAATAATAACTAACACAACTCTAACAAATTCAACCAAAACATGATCCAGAACTTACAAAAATGGCAAAGAAGCTCATTCACTCTTACAGAACGTGACTCATAGTACATATTATATGTGGATGATCTCATACAAAATTCCATATTATCTAACAAGAAAGGAACCACGTGTTGTAGGTCTAAACAACCAAAGAACTCAGAACATATAACTCCTTGTGTCTTCTGGATACCAATATTTGATCAAAACATTGTTAAACACACTGAAATTCGCAAAATCTATGTTCAACTAAAGGGTTGAACTCTATGTTAACTAGGCTCCGCTCCTCTATCACAAAGCCACACCCGTACCTGAAACGTACCGGCTACTGACATGTACTAGACGCTTCTATCATTTGTGGTAGCAATACCAGACACTGACACCCATTGGACTCTCACTAGACATACCACATATATTTATCTAGATTCTAGATGCATATTCAGTTATATAATGCATGCTTTAATTTAAAAAACTCTTCATATACTTCTTGGATGTTTATCCTACACTTCATATCTGCTTCTTGAAACTCAGTGGACATAGGTTGGCTTCATTTCATTCAATACCCCATTCAGAACTATGATTTTAGAGGTTGTTTGGGTATTTAGTTTAAAACCAGGGGATTTTCCAATTTATAATATACCTAAGAAATATTAAAAGGATACAAGAATTTTAATTCTCATGACAATGAAAAAATATTATTGATCTTATGTAAATTATTAATTTCAGTATGTGTATATAGCCGTGTCCCCGTACACCACCTTTCACAAATTTGCTCTGTCTCATACCCATATCCGTAACCATACCAGTACCTACCCATACCCATGCAACTTAGGTACTTGAACTATTGTACCTCACCACATAAAAAGTATGAGAGAAAAGATACTCTTATTCTCCACCTTATGGATAGACTGCAATACTTGCTCTATTGGTAGAAAAATCCTGTCATGCGGTTATTATTTAGTTGACGGAAAGCAGTATAAATGCATGAGAAAGATATCAATAATATTTTTTCATTGTCATGGAAAATGCGATGTGTCAGAAATGGCTTTACTTACCAGGTCCCATTACATTCTCTTTGTTGATCTCTACAATATAGTCAGAAAGATAGCTGATATCCAATGTTGTATTGACCAAACCGTTCGTAGGCCTTTGAAGAGAAGCTTGGAGATCACTAACATTAGTAAAAGACGAACCCGGTATGAAGTCATGAACAAGAGGTTGTATAAGCTTCAAGCCATGCTTGTTGTTATATATTTGAGGAAACAAATGAATTCTCAATATATTTGGATCTGGTCCTCGAAAGGTTCTGGGATTGTCATCCGCATAGCTGTCGGATTGCAGGGTGCCACTGACAAAGCTCACGTATTTATCATTACCATGGTCCTTCACTGTAAGTTTGAATTGGAACCCAACAGCCATGGCTGGGTCATTCGGAAGGTCCACAAAACGCCAGGAGATGAGGTAATTTCTTCGGGGAATCTGACAACTATCGCATTTAAGAGATATAGTTGGACCATTGCTTGTATTCTGGCAACGATAAGTTGCATAAGTTGACAAAGGGAAAACTCTGTAATCAATGAAACCCGGAGTTCCGAGCACCAAAGTGTCAAGGCCACGGAGATGAGCACAACTCATGCTAGAAATTGTAGTTATATTAAACTCCATGTCATTGACAAACGATAGTAAATCGGGAGCATTGACTGGCCTTACTTTATGCACCTCAATGCTTCTCCTGGTGATAACCTGATATAGCAGCCTGCAAAGAGCCAAGTGGTCTACTCAGAGGTGGCTGACGACGGGTGGGCTTTGAGTGAATTTTGAAAAGGAAATGAAGTTACATTAAACCATAGTACTTGATTCATACGAATGGGACACAAGACGGATACTCACGCAGATAACAGGCCGACGAGCAATATCCAGCTTGCTACGGAGAACGTCCCCCCCAGCTCCGTCTTTCTCTTGCGCACCACTTTCTGGTCATCCTACAGCGACGAATTTTGAAAAATTAAACGCATATGACAGAGTATCTACCGCCCCATCCCCCTAAAACATGACTTACATGATAAAACAAGTATCAAAGAACAAGACCCGCGTCAAAAAAAAATCTTGAATGCTTGTGCATACATACAAGCGTCACAAATCACCGACCATCTGGGATGATCAGAAACTGTTGGTATCAACTTACTCGGCGAGAATGACACAAATCAAGTGAACAAACACCTCGTTCATTTAATAATATTACGAGAAAAATAGCACTCTCTCGCTGCTAAAGTCGAGCATAACTAAGCTTGAACTATGATCCTTCTAATTTATCCCACCAGCCAGTGAACAAGCATCCCGTTCATTTAATAATTTTACGAGAAAAATAGCACTTCCTCACTGCTAAAGTCGAGCATAAATAGCTAGGGACCTCGGCACAAAGAACAGAGGGAGGGGTGGGGGGAGGGGAAACCTAACCAGGCCAGTGTCGGTGGAGTAGCGAAATCCAAGCGGCTGATCCACCAACCGGATCCGAAACCAGACGCGTCCTCCCGCCGTCCACCTGGCGAACCTGAGGAGGAAGCAGAAGAAGCAGCCACGCGCAGAGGAGCGCGAGCGTCGCCCGAGGGACGGCGCTGCCCGACTGGGTGATCCTCCTGATGGAGGTCGAGGGGGTGGAGGACGGTGGTGAGGAAGGTGGGAGGCGGAGATCCGACTCCCGGAGCTGACCTGCCCATCCGGCGGCGGCGGAAGGGAGTTGAAGAGGGCGCAGGCGGAGGCGCCGCGGGGGCGTATGCGCCCGGGCCGCACGCGCAGAGGGTGCCCGTTGTAGCGGAAGGATCCGGTCGGGCACGGCGTCCGGACATTTACCAATTAGGGCCTTCGCTTGTTCCGAAGCTACACGACCCAAGTAGAATCCGAGGATATCGAAATCGCCCAGAGAGAGAGAAAAGAGAGAGAGAGAGAGAGGAGGAGCGAAGGAGCTGGAAGGGGAATCCGAGGGCGCGATACGAGAGGCAGAGCCAGCTCAGCTCAGCTGGTGGAGTCCGATTCGGACAACGGGAGAAAGGGATTGGCGGGGCCTGGGGCTGACGTGGGCGCCCACTAACGAAGAGCTTACGTAGGTGGGAGGTCACCGTGGGTAAATTGGGACCCCTGGTGTCACCCCCTTATCTAGGGCTGAGCATGGTTCGGTCCAAACCGAAAAAACCGACCGAACCGATCCGAACTGATCCGAAAAAATCAGTTTTATAAGTAGGGCGATTCGGATCGGTTTGAAAACTTTTCAACCCGAACCGATCCGAACCGACCGAATATAGTGCAATACTATCCATTCTGATCTCAAACCCTACCCGACCCGTCCCCAAAGAGTCACATACTCAAACTCTAAACTCATTTTCTGGATCATTATGGGTTGAAAACAACATAATTATATCAGTGTTTAATGCTTCATAATCTCCTACTTTGTTGATATTTTTTTCTTTAACACGGTTTGTTGTTTGATAAAAAGTTTGATGAAGCTAGCACCGAACAAACCGAACCGAACCGTACCGAACCAACTTGCAACAGTTCGGTTCGGTTTTGAATTATAGGCGGTTCGGTTCGGTTGTTCAAATTTTGGTAAAAGCCGAATCGAACCGATCGTTGCACACCCCTACTGACCCACCCCATGCCGTTTATTTAAGACTTTGTTAACAAAAAAATTTGATCGGGTAATTTTTGCTTTGGTCCCCTTTAATTCCCGGTTTGGGTATTACCCGCAAATCTCCGAATTATCTTGACAAAAATATTTACTTACGTTTATCCAAAAAAAAAAAAAACCCAAGCCCAAGATTGGTTGGCTATCCACTCAAAGAGATCTAAAACATCAATTTTCACTCGTCTTCTCTGTTGGTCCCATATTTTGGATCCTCGGGGGATTTTTCATTAAAAGTCTTTAAGGGTTTGATATCTTTTTGGTACACAGCTGAATTGGATGCATTGAATAGCTTATTCAAACAATTTAATTACGCGCGTTTAGATAAACTCAGATTGCGATGGCCAACGCTGCAGTTTTTACAAGCGAACAAAGTCCTGAATAAATATTGGTGAACGAAAATTGAGAGCCCATGTGAACAGCAAAGCAATTTATTCTTCATGCTCGTGCTTTCAGCTGTTCAGTTTCCGACTGGAATCGTCTCCGTATATTTTGATAATTGTATTTGGCGAGAATTCCAAAGCCCTTATCTTGGTTAATTTATTGTTAATCACTAATCCCCTTCCACCTGTATCTTATTATAGGCGTAAAATAAAACTAAACGTGGCAGTGTCTGAGCGGACCTTAGGCCTCCAACTACCGATGTCGTAAAAAAAACAAAAAATTCCTGAAGGACCCAAAATATGGGACCAATAGAGGGGACAAGTGAGGTGTCTCCCTCTTATTGGATAATGAGTTGGCCATCATTAATGATGGCCAACTCATTATCCAATAGGAGGGAGACACCTCACTTGTCCCCTCTATTGGTCCCATATTTTGGGTCCCTATAGCAAAGCGCGGCGAGTCGATACTAGTTAAATTAAAAATTACTGAACCCCAACCACTTGAATCGGGAAAGAATGGGTCAAACTAATGACCTCGGTAAAAGATAAGGAGTTGGAAATTTTTGCTGTAATTTTTTCACGGTAAACATACAAGCCTCACTTGGCTTCTTCATTCGATCGCTGGGTAACAACCTCGAAATCCTCTTGCCCCGTGCGCATCTGTGGTCACCAAAGTCTTGAGGCTGGCTTTTATACGCTCGACTGCTACGCAAGCTTCTCATATGCGGGTCAGAAAAGGTCAGTGAATTGGATTCTATATATGCTAGTTTTACCGTATCATCAGCTTCCAGAATTGGCATCTGAGCTGGGTTTCGAAGAAAACGACGAGGGGATGTCTCTGATCCGCGACCCGCTGCCCCAAAAGGAAGCAAGGCTCAGACCCATGATCGCCATTGCTACGACTGAGCACGCAGCGGGGACCGCATGGCTGCTTCCGAGGAATTGAGTCGCCAGGAGCCCAGCCAGGGTCGAGCTCTGCATGCCCGTGCATAATGATATCGTCCTGCAAACTGGCTCCTCTTGCCTGGTAGAACATGACATAACGTTAGCTAACTCGTAACGAGACACTGTTGTGAACAAACATTTCCACAATGCCATTTTTAATTGTTATAATAACTAGATTCAGAAAATGTTCCACCACCCATCTACACATATATATTCATCGAAAATGTGGCTCGTTACATGAAACAATCAAATGGAGTTTGACCTGTCATATGATTTTCATAATGCCAGTAACAGAAAGTTGAGAGACAGAACTGAGAGGTAATAGATTCATGAAAGGAACAATTGATGTGTTATTCCCTGTTTAAACTTAATCAAGGAGGAAGAACCAGCATGGATAATCATAGCCTCATAGGGATCCTGCTCTTAACAGGTTCTCTTTCAGTCGATACAAATTAATTTTCCATGACACAAGAACTGAACATATGAGAGGAACAAATGGCCAAAAGAGGTAGATTCAAGTAAAATTGTTAAAAAAAAAAAAGAAACAGGGAAAAGAAAGCAAACACTTCAATGCAAAAGGCAGACCGAGAAGTAGGGAGAAAAGAGGATAGTAAAACATACCTCAAAGAGGGCAGTCTGGATAACCAATAACCAAATGCGAAGGCGAGAAGATGGAACGTTAGTATCGGGAGAAGCAAAGAGAGACCTTCTGATGATAGGATCTGCCTCCTATTAATAGCAAGAGGGCTTCCGATACACAATGAGGTGCAGATCATGGCTACGAAAGGCATAATTGGTTGGATGACGTTCACTACACCTTTGGCATAAGTATTGAGAGCAAGGCCAACAGTCACAGGAAAAAGGACAACCTACAAAACCATACAAACTCATTAATCCAGCTAGAAAAGGAGAAATTGATGTAATTGAAAACAATTGTAAATTTAGTTAGTAATTTCACACACAATATATTCCAAGTACCATCAACATGTCGGTGCTAGTAGTTCTTACTTATGCAAGAATGAGCTTTGTTTTAGCTAAGTAAATAGTAACGTACTAAGTTTAATTTAGCAATGTGCAGAAAGAGGCATATAGAGAACACAACAAATATGTCTTGGATTCACTATTGTCTAGTTGAGAGTCTGAAGGAATGTCATCAAGGGGAGAACTCAAGCAATTTTTTCCAGATTCTGTGAGGATGTTTCACGCATTTCCATAACTCATATGGCTTCACATATTTTTAGATAGAAATGGGTGCATAGATCTGGTAGAAAATAGTACTTAAGAGGAGCAGAAAGAATGTGATCTTGGACGGAGCTTTTCCTGAGAGCAAACTTTATTGGCTGAGGCTGATGGTAGAACTACCATCTCTCTGAATATAAATGTAGTTCAACCACTTATTTATTTAGGATTAAAAAAGAAACATAGAGAAAACATCAGAATAAATATCCATATCCGGTAACAAAAATAACTAAGGTTATAAGATCAAAGAAGTAAATCCACAAGAACAATTTGCTAGGTCATGTTGGAACCATATCCACCACGAGTTATTAAACAAAGATCTATGATGAAAGTAATGCATGCTCAACTAAGATATAAGATAGAATGGCAGATTGGATACAAATTCACACCCTCCTTACAATTTCAGTTGATGTGTTGACCATCTCTTAATACATCCATCATTTGGAATCAACTTAGAAACTTCGTATCATGCCAAAGAGTTCACGTGAGTCAGCATAAACTATTTATCCTCTGCTGGGATATCAACTAACCTTTATCTGAACAGTCATTTGTGGTCATCCTATTCCCATGAAAAGATCCTAACACAATCTAATCACCAGCTTACAACCTTTACAACCATGCGAAGATCTGATCCCATGACCAAAGGTAATTGGTACAATTTGGAGATACTAAAGGAGTAAAAGAGGAAAAGATATTTATTAGCTGTAAAATCTAAGATTACTATTCATTCTTCTGTAAACAGCTAAAAAAGAAGAAGTAGAATAATAACAAGAAACCTGATATAATCCTTTACCTGCAAGATTGACTTTGACATTGCCACCGCATCAACTGGAACTACTGAGCCAATTAGGAGGCCAGTTAGAAGAGGGGTGACGATGACAGAAGAAATTGTTGTTGAGCTTGTTAGCAAGATGCTCAATGCCACGTCTCCTTTGCTCAAATAACTGGCATAACTCGAGAGTTGTGCCCCAGCAACACAACTAGTAAGAACAAAACCAGCATAGAATATAGGAGACATTTTGAATGCCCTAGCTATCCACAGGCCCAACAGAGGCTTAAGCGCATACTGTGCAATATATCCGATAGTCAGCGGCAAAGGTCTGAAACAGTGATATAATAATAAGCAAATACTGAAGTCAGTTAAAAGCATATATCATGAAAGGAAGAAGGAAAAGTGAAAGAACCTCTGAAAGGCGAGGGCAAAATCATCAAGGGATAGCCTTATGCCAATAGATAGCATGATCCCTCCAAGGGCAGGAGCATAATAGTCTTTTGAAACCCTAGCGAACAGATAGAAAAAACAATCATTAGTTATATTTATGCTAATAAACCAAGTTTTGCTAAATTCATGAACATGATATCTTCAGGTCCATTACCAAGACAAAAATTTACTTCATGCAACTTCAGATACAGTACCATCCCCATATCTTCAGCTATTGAAAAGCATTAAAAGCAGTTAAAAACATGAGGATATATTATCACATCATAACAATGATTTTATCACCGTGATTTATCATTAAGAAACAGACAAGCGCTACATAGATTAAATTCATACACAAACAGAAGGATACAGAATAGGTCTTGAAGTTGGTGGATAAAGATTGACTTTGTCTTTAAACTCTTCCCCAAATTTTCATCCGCTTCTTTCTCGTATCTATGACCTTTTACTAGGCTCATCTTTTCTTTTGGAGTGGTGGGTTTCAATTGAGGTATCTTGTTAAAATGGCAGCAAGATATAGTTGCATAAACAACATTCTACCTGATATATAGTTTAAAAAATACAAATAGACCTTCAATGAACCACGTTCTTTAAGGATCCTCACTTTTAAGAAAATGCTCCTACTAGACATTTCTCCTTATTCTTATTTTCCTACATATACACAAGTTCCACATATCTTCTTCAACTAACCAAAATATGCTCAACTTCTACCTGAAACATTGAACTTGCACAATCACAGAGTCTATTAGGCCCCATCCGCAATTTATTTACTTATTAACATCGACTATTTACTTAAACGGAAGGACAGAAACACACATGCATTGCACACAACTTAGCAGCTACAAACACTTTAGTGCACAATCTCAAACCTTAGCATTATCTCAGCTAGGGACATGCAAGATAAGCGAGCAGCATTCTCTTAACCCAACCCAACAACTGCGAAAAGCTTAAAATGGCATTATCGTCTTCACCGGGTTCAACTAAGCCTTTACTAATAAAGAAAAGGATCCAAGAAGATGAACCAAATTTTACAACCAGCAAGGCATTACCCCAGAGCTTTGCATTCATCTACATAACTTCTTGATGGAAAAATAAAAACTAATACGACCATAATTCTTTAATTCTCATCAGGTGCATGTGCATATAAATTAAAACTGAGGCAATCTAATTGAAAGAAAAAGATAACGAGAGACGAGCAGAGCAACTAACCAAGAGAAGCCGCCACCACGAAAGGCAACATCGCCGACAGGGATTTGGACGAAGAATCAGCATCAGATGAATTATTCGCCTTATCACCAAGAAGCCCTGCATCTGGGTTCGCCCCAAATGAGAGCAGCGACACGTGTCCCAATCTCCGGTGCCATCCAACCCTCCCCTCGAAAGGAAACGACGTCGAGCACGCCGCTAAGGGCCTCGTCGGAGTCCGAACACCGCCCCGCCGGCGGAGAAGCGAGCGGTTGGGAGGTGACCGGAACGCGAGGGGAAGGACGCGGGCGCTGCAGGCGGCGACTGCGGCCATCGAGCGGAGGCTATCTTGATTACACGATCAGATTTTTTTTTTTTTTTGGCTTTAATTCTGATTTTTTTTTTCGGAGAAAGAGAGGAGAAATGAGATGAGAGGCCAAGGAGTGTGGAATGTGGATGCTCGTTTGGGATAATAATTTGAGTGGGCAACTTAAAAGGCTTATTTAATTGGGATATTAGAATATTATTTGAATTGAAATACATAATTAAAATCCAATTAAGTAGTTTAGGTCAAATCATATTCTATGTTTATGTAGCAAAGGGCAAAATATACATCAGCTAGTCGGATTTTTTTTTGGTTTAATTGCACTCAAGTCCCCTATTGTTTCCCCACTAGGCACTTACACACTCACACTTGTTTTTAGCAGTACGTATATACCTTAAAGTTTTTAAAACTTGCAACTAAATACCGTAAACTTTTTAAAATTGACACTTAAATACCCTAAAGTTTTTAAACTTTACACTTAAATGCCCTCAAGTTTATGCACTTAAAATACACTCGAGTTTACATAAATGTGGTGGGTATTTAAGTGCAAATTTTAAAAACAGGGTATTTAAGTGCCAAATTTAAAAACTTTTAGGGTATTTAAAAAGTGAGGATATATAGGTCCAAGTTTTAAAAAATTTTAAGGCATATAAGTGCTACCGAAAACAAATGAGAGTATATAAATGCAAGCTTTAAAACCTTTAGGGTACGTGAGTGCTGCCAAAACAAATGAGGGTAT